TTCTGCTCATGGACTGCTAAGAGTTTTTGCCACATTTCATGTGCATTTTCACAATTTACCAGACATTCTAGTTGGTTTGGAGAAATGGTGGTAAGTAGAATCATTTGCGCTTTTGAATTATTTTCTTCCCATTTTGCCAATTCAGCAAGCGCTCAATCTTGTACTTGGGGGACACTTCCATCCACGATGCCCAAGCTATTTTCCGCTTTCAATACGATGTACATGCTAAATTTACATAGCTGAATATTTGTGCCGTCGAACTTTACTAACTCTGATGATTTTGCTGACACTTGCCATTTTGCACTTCGATTATTCTTCAACAGTTATCACTTTACTCACGCACTACTGAAATGTCTACACAATTTCTAGAGTGTTTGGTGTCCTGGGCCCATAACCTGTTGGTGAAATAAAGTGGACACACTCTTAATGTATGAATAAAAGTATATTGATAAATGATAAAGAACAACACAGTACAAAAGTAGATTTCCGAACACGAGAACGATTCTCTATCAACAGCGATTTGACGACGACTAACTAAAAAGGTTGCTCTCGCGATAAATAAAAAAATATGCTTGCCTAAGCAATATGGCTTTGTGGTGCACTGTGGTCCATAATATATATGGCTGAACTTATATTGATAATATTAAAAGCATTTTGATTATAGTCTTATTCTAACAACTTTTCTTCTTCCTAATGCTTCTCCTACTGCTGATAGGATGTTTTGGTTCAGTTTCTTCCCTGTCTCCTTTGCACTGTTGTAGAACTTGGTAATAGATTTCATTAAACAAATACATAGTTCTTCTTATCTGCACACTAGAATTCTCTTATATCTCTGGCCTTTTAAAGTTGATACATTGAACTGTTTTATTCATATAACGAAAATTGAATTCAAACAGTCATCAGGCAAAATCCCCATTTCTTCCATCCATAAGCACCTGAACGCAACGGTTTAATTTCAGTGACAATTTCCCATAATAATAGCAGGCCTATTCACATTTACTCTAATTTATATGGACGTTTCAATGACAATAAATCAACCGTAATTAAAACACCCAGCACCATGAATAGCTGGTATCCACCAAACATGTCCTGAAAAGGTGTCAAAGCAACATATGTTTACAATTAAAAATGCACTTTTCTGTTTTGGTTCATTGACTTTAATTCCCACCGAGCTGGAAATGAGCATAAAGGAATACATATTAAACCAGTGGATACGAGGAATTCATTTACATACCTATTTGGTTTGAAGGAATTGTACATCTATTAATATGCCAACAGCATTTTTTAGGGACATTAGCAA